TTACATGCCTTTCTCATAACTGCTGTCAACGGTCGGTCAGATCGATTTCAAAATTTGCACCTTACATCAGCAGAATGTCCTCCAGATGCTTTCCAAAATTGTAAATCTGCTCGTTTCGTAAACAGTGAACATTGCGGGTTACAGTATTTTGACATAATTTGATGTTTCCATTGTCAAGAACTAGGACATTCTAAATATAATTGCATTTATAAGGAATACTTTTATATTCTTCAGGAAACCATTTTACACAAAAATGTACAGCTGACGAATAATCATAAATCAACTGCGCCATATTTAATAACTTGGATTGTACATAACACAATATTTTTCACCCAACTTATTCGGTTTTATGTCTGACTTATCAAGCAGAATTTCAAAGAATAAAATTCATACTTTACAGGAATAATGATAATACAAAATTGAATTTTAATATACTTGCTTTTGTAACTAACAAATCGGATTTCTGTATTATGCAAAATGTACTATATGGAGAAATAATAATTACAAGTATTTCTAGCGAACAAGACATCATCTGTAGAGATATTAGGATTTTTTTTTTTTTTTTGGAAGCAGGCAAGATGAAAAAGTATCAACGCCTTCGCCGGGAATCGAACCGCAGACCTCTGGAATACCGGCCCAGTGTGCTGGACCACTGCACCACGAGTGCACGCTAGGAAGGCGGGAGAACTATCTTATACATCTATTCAAATTATTTAAATAAAGCTAGAATCCTTTAGATAAGTCGAAATAAAATTTTGTTTTAAAAAAAAATATGCCTACTTTTATAAATTTAATTTTTAAAACTTCATAAATTATTGAAGTTTCTAATCGAGGTTTTAAATAAAGTTTTATTTAAAAATATTGAATTCAATGAATTTACAATTGAGTTGAAACTTCAGTTTTATTTTGCTTCAAAAGGAGGTAGATGTTATTATTTTCGTGTTTCGTTATTCATTCTTTGACTGAAACATACATGCCCTTTCTAAAGCCTGGTTTTTAATTTAATAATTTAAATTATCATTAAAAGAAAACACTAATCGCGCAATTTCCTTTATTATGAGAGAAAACTTAATTATGTAAAAGGTTTTCTATAAGTGTCTCGTCTTTTTCGCTTCTCTGCAATGAATTAAAAATTTTAATTAATGAAAATGCAGAATAAATTTGAATTATCAGACTGCGATAACTTTTTTACGCTGCAATTTTTGAAAATATTGAGAAAGTGTTATAAGGTTTCTGTAAAACAAAACCACATTATGTCTTCCAAAATACAAGTAAAATAAGTTACGAAACCCTAAATTAATTAAGGGGGTGTGATAGATCTATTAGCTCTTGAATTTCCCTCAGAAATGTCTTCAAATATTTCTTAATTAGGGCAATTCTAAATTCAGTTTTAGTGTTCGGAATGCGAAACTGTTATTGTTGGTAAAAATTGAGTATTAATTGAGCCATTATTCGGAATATCAAAGTAATGTTTGCCCTCGTGTTTATACGACTGGCATACTCAAGTAAAATTTTCATTTGAAACATAATTAAAATGAGAACCATGAGGAGGAAGTCTCTTTAACAAATGAGTATTTTCAGATTCTGCTTTTACCAGCGTAATTTATGAAATTCAGAAACTTAGAGTAATTCATTTCTTTCAAAGTAACATAAATATTTGAAATTTATATGGCTCTTTGAATTACTTGAATTAATATTAGTACTGATTTTTCAAATTTAAATCTATTTTTCACTTTTCTGTATCAGAATTTTCCATCCGGGAAAGAAGAATTATTCTAAAATAAATCAAAGAAAGCTTATGCCAGTTACGTTTGAGGAATCCTTAGGTTACATGCAAAATGTGCCATGCCCTCGACGGAATTAGAATTTAAAAATGCAAGTCGATCCTGCTTCCAGTTACACAGAGGACTCATTCGAAAAGGTGGATGAAATACCTTCCAAGTTTACTGAAATGAACTAGAATTGTGAAACGGACAGTTCAGCAACAGGAGGCGGATTGCGGATGAGCTCGCAGGCACATTGCACAGGCGGAGCGTGGACCGAGGGCGCACGCGGAAGACAGCAGATAAGAAGGAGTGTTTCAGGATTCTTCATTTAACTGATAAGATGACATCATACTTTAATAAGAGATTATCGTTGATTGATTTTCCGGAGGTTCTCTGTTAATCAATGTTTAGCCTTTGTTTTTTCTCTTCGTATTCCAACTATTTTACTACGTGTAAGATGATTATTTCCTAGATATCCTTAACGATAATTATTTTCAAATCTAATCATTGATTCAGAAGGTCCTAATTTTAGATGCTATTTTCAACTAGATTCGTACTTTTCAAAACTTCGTAATTTTTAAAGTGTTCTAATTTTGAACTTGTTTATTACATTTTCGGATCGTATACCTGACTTTTACTTACTTTTGTAACAGACCTATTTAAGTGTAATTGAACTATTATATTCACGCCATGAACTCATGAACTGTAACCGAACTATTTTATTTAAACGCCATCTCGTGGCGATATGAAAAAACGTCAGTCGACCTCCAGCCGCCATGATGATAGATTACTATGTTATGTTATTCTCAATGTTTGATGTTCCATTTCGTTTATGTTTCATTTTTATATATATTTCTTTTGTTTCTAACCGTTCCTGTGTGCTCTGTTAATAAATCCTTTTAAAGCTAGCCGGCATTAGTGTCTATTGAGGAACGGCTACATCACACTTTTAAATATAAATTTTATTCATTTCTATTTTTTTGACATTTATAGTTTCCAACATACTTTGAATTTTAACTAGTTTGCTATAAATTCATACTATGTACATGACTTTCACTTACATTATAGTTACTTTCATACCTTTTCATTGGTAATTTCCAAACATGCACTTAAGTTTAGATTCATTCCTCTATTTTCTGACCATAGATGTGAACTTTATTTAAGCTTAGATGTAATTTTAAACTTGCTTCATGCATTTTAAACCTTCATAATTTTAGATGTAAATTTTAACTTCTTTCCTATTTTTTAGTTTCCAACATACTCTGAATTTTAACTAATTTGCTATATTTTCACACTATGTACATAACTTTCACTTAATCTTTAACTACTTTCATACATTCTAACCTTCGTAATTTCAAATGTATTCTTAATTTTAGCTTAATTCCTCTATTTTCTGACTATATATATGAGCTTTATTTAATTCTAGATATTAATTCTAACTTGTTTCATACATTTTGACCCTTGATAATTTTGAAAGTACTATAATTTCGAACTTGTTTCATACACTTTAACCTTCGCAATTTGTAACATACTCCTAATTTTAATTTAATTCCTATATTTTCTGATCACATACAGGGTCTTTATTGAATTCATATGTAATTTTAAACTTATTTCATACATTTTAACCTTCCCAATTTTCAACATACTCTACGGTTTATTTTATTTTCACATAATATACATGAATTGTATTAAATTTTAGATGTAATTTTCTAACATTTTTTGCCTGTTGTTTCCCTTATACCCTTTTAATTTTAGCGTATTTATCATATTTCCTGTTTATAATACATATTTAGTTTACTTAATTTTACATATTTTTGCACATAATGTTACATGTTTAAACTTCTTAAACATGCATAGAACTGGGATATTTTCAATTAAGCATTTTATTTTATAACAGGTAACTACTATTCACATCCAGTTCGTTGATGCTTAACATATAACATATAACTAAACACTGATACTTTTAGAATCAACCTTTTACTATGGAAAACCCTTGCTTAGTCTATATTTTATAGTACAATTTTAAATTACCAGTTCTACAATTTATCTTTTATAAGAGTCGTATCATGACTGAATCTACTATTTCATTTCATCCATAATATATTATTAATTTCATTGGCATTTCTAAGCTTTATTATTTTCTGCATATTCAGATATTTTCATATAATTTTTAATAGCCTTTATATTTGAACGCATGTTTTAAACTCTTTGATGTTACCATTGTTTACTTTTGTGTTCGAATTATTTTTAAGCTAGCTTGATAGATACCGAATATTTGCAATGAAGTGCCAAATTTCATGTGTAATTTTAGGACATATTCACTATTTCATGTCTTCATACGGAAGTCTTTCCCAATATTTCTAACGTATAATACCTTTCAGTTCAGTATATTTTGCCAATTGCATGCACTCATGCCGTTAGTTTTTTAAATTTTAGATGCCCTTAATATACAAATCTTTTCTTACTATCTTTTCCTACGCTAGATAATTATGAATATTTCTACCTCTCTTTGAAAATCTCTTTGAAAAAAATAACTTATATATATTATATATCTAAGGAAATAACTAAACAATAAAACTTTTAGAATTAGTGTTTTATTAAGGAAAACCTACTAAATACTATTAAATTTACAGGTAGATCACATAAAAATAAGTTTTATAAATGATATTTTAGTAATGCTTCAGACTGCATAAAAGTCAGCATTCGCTATCTTAATAGATGTATCATCAGTTATTTACATTAATCAATGTAATATCATCATTCGGTACATGCATATATTTTTGTTTACTTTTTTATTTTAAAGTTAATATTCTTACTTTATGTGAACAATTTGAATAATTAACTGTTCTAAGAAAAGGCTCCGTATCTGACCATATTTATTTCACATTTAAAACTTTTTCTAGAATCCATCCTGAGCCATTTTCAATAAACGCATCATAGCTCTTTTTAATTTTTTCGAAAGGTTCAATAATTTCTTTCTATATAATACACTTTACGTAATTGCAAACAGTTGCTACGGAAATGTGGGTAAATATATTCAGTTTCCCCATTTTCACACTCGCGACTCATTTTAACAGTAACAACTGCATACCATTTCAGACACGTATTATATTGTTATATTATCACTCAATTTCTTTACAAGTTGTGATTTGATGTACTCGAGTAACACATCTAGGTCTCGATCATTCTCTGTATTAGAGAAAATCGACTCAGCAGCGAACATATTCTTGAGACTTAGACTTGTGATTTCAGCACCCGTACATACAATTCTTCGTTTTTCTTCCCTTTGGTTAGTAAAAACTCCCGAACATTCAATACAAATTTAAGATGGGAAACTTCATGCTGTTTTAAATTATTAAGTTCACCAAATGCCTTTGAGCAATATTTACATTTAAAAGTATCATTATGAATTTTCATATGTCTTCTTAAATCCATCTGACTTGTAAAATGTTCCGAACATTCAGTACATCTTTTACGATGGGAAGCTTCATGACGTTCCAAATGATCAAGTTCACTAAATTTCTTTGGACATTTACTAGATTTGTAGCTCTTTTCATGAGCTTTCAGGGGTATATTTAAATCAAGTGCTTTCTGGAAAACTTGTAAACATATCGCACAAGTAAAATTTCGAAGATGAATCGCTTCATGAACTCTTAAGTTATCAATGCGAGTGAGTCGCTTGAAACACATACCACATTGAAGAGGTGCTTTTTCAGTATGTTTTTCCATATGCCTATTTAAATCACTTTGTCGAGCAAAAGATATTTCACATTCTACGCAATGAAATATTTTCTCTCCTGAATGAATCTTTAGATTTCGAGTTAAGTTTCATTATAAAGAGAGCATTTTACCACAGGTGGGACATTCCTAAGAGAAAACACGATAAAACTCGTAAGTATTCCAGCAGCTTAATACATATATACATATTACTCACAAACATGTGCATAGCAAAAATGGAATTTATTAGAATACTAATAATATGCATGCATTTTTAGGCTGTAATGGCTGAATTCATCATATATCTTAAACGTTACTACTCTAACATTTTCATGTTAAGCCATTTTTCACAAATTTGGTCTCACTAAGAACATCACGTCTCAATATTAAGATCATAATAAGCTAACTGAATAATACACTGTCTACCAATAAGTATTTGGACACCTGTGATAGAAAAGAAAAACTAACTTTATTCAAAATCAATAGTGGGTAGAGCCTCCACGAGAGGTATTTAATGCGTGGACCCTCCAGGGCATACTTTCCATTAGTCGTTGTATGACAGCTAGTGGTATTTTCTTCCACTCGGCTTGGAGAAGACATAGAAGTTCCTTCACCGATTTTGCACGGGTAGTGCATCCCTGAATTCGGCGATGCAACTCGTCCCAGAGGCTCTCGATAGGGTTCAGGTCTGGACTCTGGGCAAGCCAGTCCATTCGATGAACTCCATTGGCACCATACCAAGTCTTGGTTAACGTCGAAACATGACAACTGGCATTGTCGTCCTGAAAGTAACAGGGTTCCAACCCGTAAAACTCCACAACGTAGGAAGCACATTGTCATCCAAAATAGTGCAGTAGGCCTCGGATTTGAGCTTACCATGAATGGGGACCAAAGGTCCCAGCCCATACCAGGAGAAACACCCCAAGACCATAATTCCACCTCCGCCGAACTTGACTGTTGGCACAATGCATCCTCGCAGGAGACGTTCTCCAGGTAGACGCCAGACCCAGACCCTGCCATCCGAACGGTAAAGGGTGAACCTTGATTCGTCACTCCAAAGAACCCGTTTCCACTGATCTACGGTTCAATTTCGATGTGCTTTGCACCACATTAACCGAGCAGCGCCGTTGGACTTTATGATCAAAGGCTTATGGGCAGCAGCATGACCATGAAACCATACTCCCGGATGCCTGTTGAAACTCCTCGCGGATGAGGGCCATCGGTTTGGGGGGCGGTTCTTCCGAATTTCTGTGGCACTCGTTGGTCTCTATCTCTCAGTTTCGTTGGTCTGCCGACTCGGGCACATTCCGACAATCACCGCTCACCTTCCACTTCTTAATCACATAGGCCACTGTCGATTTTGAGTACTTCAGATCGCTAGATATGTCCCTTAAGGATCGGCCACATTCGTGATACAAGATAATTATACCTTTCTCGAAATCAGAGAGCTCCGAACTGTGAGGCATCTTGCATGAGACTAAACCCGATGATGTTTCCTACACGATATATACCAGCGGAGTCTGTGACGTACCTTAGGAGCGCAGATATTGTCATTTGCATAGGTGTCCAAATACTTATTGGTAGTCAGTGTAGAGGCATAATTAGGGTGCATGCAGAATTACAAAATCTTATTGTAGTCATTGATCTCGCACAAATTACGGTGAGTTAATAATTACTCTCAGAATTTTATTTTAGAAATTTAGGATTTTCCTCATGTAAGTCTTGAGTGTTTCTGTCCGCACGGGAACGGCGTAGAATGAAACAGGATAAATTAGAGTGTCATATAAGTTTCTCTTAATGCGTAAATTTAAGTCATATTTTATCACTATGAGACACTAAGTCGCCATATAAGCAGCGTTGTCTTTGTTTAAGGAATGTACATTTGTGAAAAATAAATTGTTCGTCTAAAACAAATCTTAAATATTTTATGGAATGTGCAACCGGAAGAGTTTGTTTATTAATGTTGAGGTTTAGATCCACTTGGTTGGTTCTTCTTGTCTAAAGAAATCACCGCTGCATTAATTATAAATTTATGCCAAGATGCTCGCTAGTCCTGATTGTTATCCTCATAGCAGCCATATTGTATGCATACTTGACAACTTTGCTGTTGATTGGTTCCAGTAAATCACTTATGTAAATATTGAAAGGTCGTAACGTTAAGACCAAACTTTGTGGGGTTCGTGCGTGAACAATCCTTTTACTTGAGTGAGTATTCCCTACATTTAAAAAGTTCGACATTTAAGGTATGACCTTGCATAGTTTGTCCATTGCAACTGGTACGTATATTTTTACAAGTTTGTAAAGGAGACCTTACCCTTTACTGTCGAAGGCTTTTTGAATATCAAGGAAGCAGGGTGCTATGCATATTTCTTAACGAATGCCACAGCTATGGTTTCTACGACATTTAAAATTTGCATTATGATGTTGCGTCCTGACCTGAATCCCAATCAGTTGGTATTCGTAACGTAGTTGATTTCAAGATGTTCCGTCAGCCCTCTGAGAACTATTCGTTCAAAAGTCTTCTCTAGCAGAGAAGAAGACTAATCGGAAGAAAACTAGAAGGTTACCTTGTTTTTTTTTTCCGGAGCTTAGGAAAGCAACAATCACTGCATATTTCCACTGCTATGAAAAGTATACTAAACGTAGGCAAGCACTGAATAATTTTGGAAACTATGATGATCTTTCTAGATTCCTCCTTAATACTCTGTTTGAAATATCATTGAAGCCTCTGACTTTCTTGATGTCTAATTTATTGATGACGTTGGAGACTTTGTTTGGCATAGCGTGCTTAATTTTCGCTATATAGTCTTGATTTAGGAATAAAGCAAGATCACTTATAATCACTTCATCATGCCGTGAATGATTATGTTCGGAGGGAAATTCTCAGCAAAAATATTTGCGAAAACTTCGAAAATTACTTTTCCGAATTTATATTCCATATGTAGTAAAGAATGCACCTGTTTGTTCTAGAGTGTTCCATTTTTCTTATCATACGGTGTTTAGTAGATTTTGTGATGATGAATTCAGCCATTACACCCTAAAATTGAATACATATTATTAGTATTCTAATAAATTCCATTTTTGATATGCACATGTTTATGTGTAATCTGTATATACATATTAAGCTACTCGAATACTTACAAGTTTTATCGTGTTTTCTATTAGGTATGTCCTACCTGTGGTAAAATGTTCTCTTTAAAATGAAATTTAACTCGAAATCTAAAGACTCATTCCGGAGAGAAAAATATTTCATTGCGTAGAATGTGAAATATCTTTTGCTCGACAAAGTGATTTAAATAGGCATATGGGATAACATACTGAAAAAGCACCTCTTCAACGTGGTATGTGTTTCAAGCGATTCACTCGCATTGATAACTTAAGAGTTCATGAAGCGATTCATCTTCGAAATTTTACTTGTGCGATATGTTTTACAAGTTTTCCAGAAAGCACTTGATTTAAATATACCCCTGAAAGCTCATGAAAAGAGCTACAAATGTAGCAAATGTCCAAAGAAATTTAGTGAACTTGATCATTTGGAACGTCATGAAGCTTCTCATCGTAAAAGATGTACTGAACGTTCGGAAGTTTTTACAAGTCAGATGGATTTAAAAGAAAAATGAAAATTCATAATGACACTTTTAAGTATAAATATTGCTCAAAGGCATTTGGTGAACTTGATAATTTAAAACAGCATGTAGTTTCCCATCTTAAAAATTGAATTGAATGTTCGGAAGTTTTTACAAACCAAAGGGATTTAAGAAGACATATGAAAACACATGAAGTTATTTTTAAATACAGTAGCTGCTCAAAGCGTTTCACCAGTGATGATGCTTTGGAACAGTATGAAGCTTCTCTTGTAAGAAAATTGCACCCAATGTTCACGAGCTTTTAAAAGAAAAGTGATGTTTCACATCATATTCGAGTGGAGCATCGTCTAACGCGAACCATAGAAAAACGAAGAATTGTATGTACATGTGCTAAAATCACAAGACTCAAGGACATGTTCGCTGCTGGTCGATTTTCCCTAATATAGAGAATGATTGAGACCTAGATGTGTTTCTCGAGTACATAAAATCACAACTTGTAGAAAAATTGAGTGATAATATAGCAACATAATCCGTGTCTGAAATGGTACGCAGTTGTTATTGTTAAAATGAGTTGCGAGTGTGAAAATGGAAAAACTGAATATATTTACCCACATTTCCGTAGCAATTGTTTGCAATTACGTAAAGCGTATTATATAGAAAGAGCAATTATTGAAGCTTTAGAAAAAATTAAACAGAGCTATGATGAGTTTATTGAAAATGGCTCAGGATGGATTCTAGAAAAAGTTTTAAATGTGAAATAAATATGGTCAGATACGGAGCCTTTTCTTAGAACAGTTAATTATTCAAATTGTTCACATAAAGTAAGAATATTAACTTTAAAATAAAAAAGTAAACAAAAATATATGCATGTACCGAATGATGATATTACATTGATTAATGTAAATAACTGATGATACATCTATTAAGATAGCGAATGCTGACTTTTATGCAGTCTGAAGCATTACTAAAATATCATTTATGAAACTTATTTTTATGTGATCTACCTGTAAATTTAATAGTATTTAGTAGGTTTTCCTTAATAAAACACTAATTCTAAAAGTTTTATTGTTTAGTTATTTCCTTAGATATATAATATATATAAGTTATTTTTTTCAAACAGATTTCCTATGAAGGTAGAAATATTCTTAATTATCTAGCGTCGGAAAAGATAGTAAGAAAAGATTAGTATATTCAGAGCATCTAAAATTTAAAAAACTAACGGCATGAGTGCATGCAATTGGCAAAATATGCTAAACGAAAAGGTATTATATATTAAAAATATTGGGAAAGACTTCTGGATGAGGACACGAAATTGTGAATATGTCCTAAAATTACAAATGAAATTTGGCACTTCATTGCAAAAATTCGGTATCTATCAAGCTAGCTTAAAGATAATTGGAACTCAAAAGTAAACAATGGTAACAT